CCCATCAGTTTCCCCTTTTCTCGGGTTCCCCACAGCCCTCAGCCCACACTCTCCACGCCCTCCCTTCGGTCCTCCAGGATTTATCCTCAGTGTTTTCACCTCTCGGTATTGTTGACGATTACTCCGCCGCCCTCCGAGTGATTCTTGTTAAGCGCCATAGTCTCTCGGAAAAAGGTCCCGAGACTCGTAACGCAGTGCGCTTGCGCCGCTTTTCGGCCCGCCCCTAGTGGCGTCGATCGTATTAGAGTTAGCCAATCCCAGCTCTCGAGTGGAGGCTGGCCCAACCACGTGATCCCGAGAGTCACGTGGTAAGAGTTTACTCCCGCTTCCCCTCCCTCCTAGTTTCTCCTGCATCACAAACAAGCTTAAGACTACAATTCCCAGAAGGCAATGCTTCCTCAGCCTCGACCTCTCCCTACACTAGTGGAAGGAGGCATTCTGGAACTTGTAGTCACCCAGACCAGAGGCCTGGATTGACTCACTGCGTTGCATAACTAGTTGGTCTGCACACTCCCCGCCCCGTCCTCGGAGGGACTGGAGTAAACAGTTGTTGGGCGCGTCACAGGAGAAATTAATCATAAAAGCCCTGGACGCACAGAATGGGTGCTGTAACCTAAGCCTGGTGTGTGGTGCTCCGAACAGTTACTGGGTCATTTTCATTCACTCAACAAACGTTTACGGAGAACTTACTATGTGACTTTGCCCCCGACTTGGGTAGTCACCGAGCCACATAGATAGATGAGTGCAAGACCCAGTCGCTGTTCCAGGACGTGGTGGGCTGGCCGATTGGCTGGCTGGCAGAGAAAAGTCAGGAAAAACTGCCATCCCTTTCGTCACATCAAATCCAGACCTTCCGAGAGGGGCAGTGAGACTCTCCGTATGGGGAGGAGAACCTGGGCCCGGCGCCTGGACCTGATAACCCCTACCAAATTCACTATCGGGTCGGACGCGCCCCTCGGCTCACTGCTGCCTCCACCACAGCTGGCCTCGCGGTGGCGCTGCTCCCACTAGAATGGTCTGGCTTTACGGTCGGGCTCGCGCTGCAGCGCGTCCCGACCGGAAGATTTAAGCAAGACTCTGAGTAACGGGATGAATTAGGCACAACGCGAGACCAGCAGTTTACAAAATTGGGCTGATTCATTTCAGCTTGTGACCCAGCAGTGGGCGGCCCCTACTGGGGTAGCAGTAGTTAGGTAAACTCCCGCACCTCCGAAAGGGATCTTTAAGGGGGAGATGTCAGTGTCTCACTCCCCATGTGGTGGTGCTGATGCGTCATTAATCTTAAGAGATCAGTTTGATTTTTAAGCAAACAGCTGATTTCCTAACTCTTCGTGGCCAACCTCAGGATCTACCTGCTTGACTTACCTTTTGATCATTATAGATGATCAAAAACTAGAAATTATGAAACAGGTAACAGCCTTCTGTGAAGTCTTGTGCAAAACCCAGTTGGACCTTGCAGGACAAGCGCAATGAAGTAGCACGCGATGGAGTTGATGAAATCTGCCCCAAATGGTTAGATTAATTTTCACACATGCATCTATGCAGCCATCGAAAAGAATGAAGTAAATTTTATGTGCTAATATGCACAGATCACCAAGGTTTGTTATGTACAGAATGATATATAAAAAATAGGATTTACATCTAGATAGAAACTCTCTGGAAAGATCCACCAGATGTCTTTTGTGTTATTCCATTGAGGCACAGGTCTAGGAATTGGGAGTGGCTGGTGACTTGGCGTGTATTGTATACTCCTGTGTACTGTTTGTTTACTGTGCACATCGTAAATGATAATAATGTATTTCAAAAAGAAAGAAAATCCACCCAGCAATGGGTATGCCAGGACGGCTGCTCCGAGGACCGTAAAAGGGAAGGTGGGTGACAGTCAAGACCCATCTACCCCTTTGCCGCACTTGCTTGGTTGGCAGCGGCAGAAGCAGGTTTTGTGGGGCCCGAGGCTTATACAACTTTGGAGAGCCTGGTTAAGAACTAAGATACGCAATCTTGAATACCCAGTGCTGTGGCCACATGGAGGCCTTCCAGCAGGAGGGGAAATGTGATAAAGAGGAAGTCAGAGTGGAGAGAGATAATGGGCTTAACTGCTTGCAGCTTAAACAACACATGACCATGCGAATACATTGTCAGCACTGCTCCCAGGCCATGGAGGGGGCGGGTGGCTTCCAGTCCCCACATTGAGAGACCCAAGGGCGGTTCGTTGCTGAACCAAGTCCAGAGCAAAAGGCCAGGTCTGGGCTCCAGTCTCAGAACTTCTGTTGTGACCGAAATAACCAGGCCCAACTCGAGTGCTCTAGTCCAAGAGACAGTTTATTAGCCGGCGGCTGTCCTTGCAAAGGAGCAGCCCCGAGACGCAGGGGCACAAAGGTTTTAAGCCTTCGATTCCATCCCCCACATCCTTAATCTTTACACAAAAGATTATATCTCCTCCATTCATTAACTGATAACTAAGAGGTGGGTAAGCAAGCAGGGGTACAGAAGCAGAATGCGTCATTGTTAAAATATTTTGTACCTATAGGCAGTGATCCGGCCAGTAAATCCCTTTAGTTAATAAATTTTTAGCAGATAACTAACTAGAAGTGAGACATGGCGGTTAGCACGTACCATGTCTTATCCTTGACCTATTGTTTCTAAAGGTGAGGTCACTACACTTCAACATCTAAACTGCTCATCTCGTGATAGTCGCCAATCCCTAGTTAATCCCCATTGCTTGTAATCCCTGCTCAGATGCAGCGACCCTTCCGACCCTTCCGGAACTGCTCCTGGCTCCCTGTACACCCTCCTCAGAACCAAATCTGACAAAAACGGTTTCCCTCCTCTCTCTAGCGGATGGATGGGCATCCTGTGATGACACTGGAGGCTGTGCCTGCTGGTGGCTGATGAGGCTTTACCAAAACAACTCTTGAAACATACATACTCTTACTATAGGCTTCTGAAGAACACTTAGCTGTCGCGTTAGTTATGAGTGCATGGAAAAGTCTTACTGCAGTCTTGTGTGCAAAGGCAAAGACTCCTGGGGGCGGGGGGAGAATTCAGAGGTTTCCCCTTGGAAGGGACATTTTATAGAAAAAGAAAACTGTCAGAGATGCACTGTTTGGCCAGAGGTCTCTGGCTGAAGATAGCTGGGTGGGTGAGTAAGTCGCTAATTTCCCAGAACACATCTTAGTGCCATTAAAGTTTATCTTAAAAAGTGCCTAAGCATTTAATCATGAATGCTGGGTTTTTTTTTCCTCCCAGGAGACTGTGAATTGTATCAGCTCAAAAAAAAAATAAAATAAAACCTTTGTCCCAGATGAGATTTGGGACCAATTTTATTTTATACTGTGATGGACTCTATTATACTTTGTCATTTAAAAAATTGCTCATCGTTATGCACTAAATTGATTTGCTATCCTCAGCTTGACCTGTTCCAG